CAGTGAACGTGCCAGAATGGATATTAAGTAAGATACTCTGTTTTGATGTATAGGGTATTTTTTATATGGAGCGAAAATGCACGGCAAAGCCGCCACTGAAACGTCGTAGCCGGGGTCGCTGCAGCGCGTTCTACGCTGTGAGCATTTCTACGCGTTCCACGCCGATGCTAACCGAAAACGCTCTAAACAAAGCTGTGTGGCTTACGAATAGAAGGTGTGGTACTTTAGTGAAGAAGTTTTTTTTCAGTCACTTCCACGGCACGGCATTTTTATCTGGTGAGTGATCAAATAACTTGCGTTTGAGAATTTCTCAATTCATTTCAAAAATGTTATTCTCGATAATTTGAGTGATCCACACTGCTGAAACACGGTTCAAATAAAAAAACTATACATGGCTGAAAATAACATTTACTGAGTGTATTTCGTTGTTTTTTCAGCAAACAATGTATGTATGTTATTGAGTAATGTGAAACTTGTTAAAATAGATAAAATAAAATATTGCATACTTCAATATAAGTGTTGTTATTTTGTGGGAGAGCGGGTGTGAGTGATGTATGGTAGCTGTGATTGTCATGGTGGATGTCTGTTCGATGTGATAAAATAAATAACACGTGGTTATTCGGGCAATATCACGATTTGTTGTCTACCCTCGGGCTGTTGGTCATGGTCATAATATTGATGATGCCCTCGCCTTCGGCTCTGGCATCATCAATATTATGGTCATGACCATCATCCCTTGGGCAGGCAACAAATCGTGATATTACCCCCACAAGCATGTGTTATTATTTAACTATAGACTATTTCACATTTTCACCAGGCAGGGTTTGTTTATTTGGCCATCGCATCACTATTATACTTTCGCAAGATTCCCACTTTTAAACATGTACTGACGGTGTATGCTCTTCCACGGTAAATAGAACATAAAGTCAAGTGTAGTGATGAGTTTCCATGGGAAATCAAATGAAAAGTTTATGTCAGTTAAAGCTATGGTGTGATACAAGATGACAAAATCTATTGTTTTAAATTTGAAATTTACAGTAGTTGTCGTTACAAGTATGCTGATTAATGGATCCAGCTCATTGTCACGGTCTATCAAATCATTCAATTTAACTGATACAGAATTTCCATGGATGGCCCGCTTCAACAAAACAGTGCAAATGGAATGATGAGTATTTTACAGTCCAGTGAAGCTTGAACAGACAGTTGCCATTTTATGCACCATTTGCTTTGTACATGTACTGAACTTTCGTTCATGAGAATTGATTCACCTTGCTGCATTAAAACCACCATATGTCTGTAAATGTTTTTGACAGTAAACTTTACATAGACCATCTGATACAGGTAAACAATAAACAATGTGAAACATAATTTTAGCTACCGTAAAAACTCTAAAGTTTCGACCAGGTTTTTAGGTTGCTGGGTAACGATAAATTTTCGGCCAGTCAAATTTTTTGGGGTAAAAGTTAAACAAATATAAAAGTTGGGTTATAGACAGTTGCAGAAGTATAATAGTTATAGAAAGTCATGTTTCTAAACAAATTTTTTGAGTAAAAATTAGTGACCAATTTCTGGTGAAACAAAAATTTTGGAGGTCAATAAATTAAAAAAATCCTAGTAGGTGAGTTTCTACGGTAATTTGGATTGATGCCTGAATTCAGCTAAAATTCTAAAAATCTTATTGTGAGAATTAATTTACAGCGTAGGTAACTTTGCCAAATAACATACTGGCTAAAAAGAAATGCACTACAATATACTGTAGCCTAAAAGCATTACTGCCCTTGAGTCAGAAGAAAATTCATCCTCCTGATGTCAGGCAAAGGATGTTTTGTACATGAGATCTCTAAGTAGGCATTAAAATATTGGTTATTAGATAAGAACAGTTAGTTCAATATTAGACTGGCACAGTTAGGCGATTAATTTGTTTTTGTAGTTTAAATAAAATAAAAAAATTTCGCGAAATGGAGGTGTTAGCGCGAAATCCTATTCTGCATGGCCCTCTATCGACACTGCAGGAACTAGTCGATTTTTCAACGGGTAATTATGTTAATGAGTGTTCTAATTGACAATCAAAGCCAATCACAACGTCTCTTCAACTGACCTCTGACCGAGAAGACGTCGGCTGATTGTAGCATTGTGATGAATTAGAAACGACTACGACAAACTCGAATTTCATCGTGACGCCATGTTGGATCTGCAGTGTGACCTTTACCATGTTGACCTCATTATGCACGTATTTCTACGCCCACCTCATTATAATATGTGCATTCATGAACAACAATGAATTTCCTGCAGAATAAACCAGGTGATTTCACGCCAATACCTCCATTTCACAATTTTTTTAATTTTATTTAAAATACAAAAACAAATTATTTGCCCGACTGCGCCAGTCTAGTTCAATAAATACATGTATATAAATACCTTCTGGAAAGATGAGTATAGGCAACTTAAGAGGATCTTCAGCATGAGATTTCATTCTGTAACATATCAATAATTTAATGAATTAGTTGAGTTCAAATAGACCACTCTTAGACCAAGGAATTACAAATCAGCGATTTATGCAGTATGGTATTGTGAAGGTATTAATTAACATCTAAGAAATGCTCATTCATGGTAGCACAATAACACTTTATTAGGCCACAGTCCCTCTATAAAGGATAGAGGGAATGTGATTAGGCATACAAACTGAAAAGTAAACAAGTACTTGTCCATATTGAGAGATATTGCTCTGGAACAGCATTCAAAATCAGCCATTTTGAATACATGTATATATATAACATGATGTATGACGAATATATAAAAATTGAATATATAATCAGTCAAAGCATTTAAGAGATATGGCTCTAGAAGCCCAATCATTAAAACAAAATGGTCGCCAGTCAGCCATTTTGAATCCAATCTGAAAAATAAAATGACGTGCATCAGGAACCCGTAATGTCTAATGTATGTACCAAGTTTGAAGGAAATCTATCCATAAATACATGTACCAGAAAAGCTTGATATTTGATGATTTTTTAGCACAAAAATGACCACCATTTTGAATAGGATCGTCAAACCAATATATCTGTCTATCTATGACATGATGTATGATGAATATTTAAAATTTGAACATAATCAGTCAAAACAAGTCGGAGATATGGATTTAGAAGCCCATTCATTAAAACAAAATGGTAGCCAGTCAGCCATTTTGAATCCAATCTGAAAAATAAAACGACGTGCATCAGGAACCCGTAATGTCTAATGTATGTATCAAGTTTGAACAAAATCCATCCATAAATGCCAGAAATGCTTGATATTTGCTGATTTTTTAGCACAAAAATGGCCACTATTTGGCCATTTTGAATAGGATCGTCAAACCAACATATATATCTATCTATGACATGATGTATAATGAATATTTAAAATTTGAACATAATCAGTGAAAGCAAGTCAGAGATATGGCACGAGAACCACATTCATCTAGTCGGCCATTTTGAATCTTATCTGAAAAACAAAATTATTTGCATCAAGGTCCCATAATGTCTAATGTATATACCAAGTTTGAACAAAATCCATCTGTAAACAGCCGAGAAATGCTTGATTTTTTGGATTTTTTAGCACAAAAATGGCCGCCATTCGGCCATCTTGAATCAGATCTTGAAACAAATTGACGTGCGTCCGAACGGGGACTAATAACAGTAAAGCTGTCAAGGATGATGTGTTTGAACAGGGGTTTCACTAATGACAAAAATCACACATTTGCAGAGCTTTTTATACATTTTTTAATATTAAACAATGGTAATTCTCATGGAGACATTTCAAGATTCTTTTTCAATGGATGCAACAGCAGTTAAGGAAGAAAAGTAATAGTGAAATATTTTGTGAAATAATGAGAAGACAGAATTGTGTTTCTACAGTGATGAGATTTCCTTTCTGTTTGAAAATAGCACAGGCTATCTTGGTACAAGATCAAACTTACTAAATCCACTGCCCTCAATGGATATTAATGGCCATTTTACTTTTGTTTTGTTTTGTTTTAGGCACGCCTGTAGAGGGTGCTGTTTGTGATTTTTTTTATAAAATCTTATGAAAATTTAACAGCATATAAATGTGTGGTCATCTGTTTACAAGACACTGTATAAATACAAGTAATTAACAAATAAATGCATGCATATTTATATTTCATAAAAAGGAGCTGTCTCTGGCTTAAGGCTATATGTTGCCAGCTTGAAGGGTAATAGGCTCAATACAATTTCCAATCTTCCAGTGTTGTCCAAAAAACCATACATGGCTATTTTTCTCGCAGCTGAACTAAATACTGTGTCACACAAAATACAAGATTAGATTGCTGGCAAGCAGTGTATTTTCTGGTATGTATTTTGAATGATTTCATTAGATTCAACTTATCTGTTCAAAACATATTTGCACTTATTACTTTCATAGTAAACCCTTTCCTTAGCTTACACCAGATCCCTGCATTTGAGCTCTCTCATATTATTACTACAAAGAGAAGCAAGATGTATAATGATGTTATCCTGACAATGCCACAAAGTATGCACTCAGGCGGTACTGGATCACATTGCCCTCCTCTCTTCATACATTTTTGTAATAACCTCATATTATGCATTGTATTAGAGTTGTCAGTGTAATAAATGGCTGACATTAGTGACTTACATCGATGAAATCAGATACATACCCTAACTTGAAGTTGTACTTTCAGATTGTTTTTTACATGATCATGTGATGTACAAATGTATTTGATATAAATAAGCGTGAACAGTAGCTCAGTTTTTCACAAAATTTGAAATTAAAACAGAAAGTCAAATGGAAAGTCAAAATAATCACAAACAATAATTTATATTAACCAAATTGAGATTTTCATGCAAATTTTACAAGTTCCATAATGGTTCAAAAAATATAAGGTGAAAGTACCATCTATAGTACACATCTGCTACATACTCATTGACATGATGCTAAGTAATTTATTCATTATGACAATTTTAATTATCCTACCTCATACTAACTGCTTTTCTGTCTTTCATTTCAGCTCTATCAAACCATATATGCGACTCGGCCCTACTGAACGCTCTCTGCATCATTCCAAAAAAACCACCCTGTTCCTGACCAATCTGTAAATGAGAATATTTTATCACATATCATATCAGACCTCAAGTGGAAAAACAGCACATAGGGCAAGAATACAAAGAGAAGTTAAGCTTACCATGGCATAGCAGTTATCACCACCAAGTATAACAGTATCTATAGGTGATGTATGATTGGCGACACAGATACCACCACCTTCAGCTCTGTATTCTCTACAGAAAACAATATTATAAGTAGGAATAATAAGGTCAATGATTTATACATCATTTGTACATGTATTTTGTACTAGGTATATCATCTTTGCCAGCCAAGGTCCATTTATTCAGATGTATGGTATCCATGTTAAATTTCTTTGCTTCAAACAGAATGTTGCACTCTGTCTGTCTATGTCACCATAGTCATTAATTTATATCAATATTTACCAATAATTAGATGTACGGCTAATTTTAATAATTTAACTTAATTAATATCTTTAGTACATTGAGTAGTTTTAAACTTTGTGTCATAAAAGCAATTGGATGTTCAGTATTTTTGATGTAAATTGTTATTATTTGTTGTCATTTTGTATTGTTTATAACCATTTTGTATATTCAAGATTTTATTGTTTTTTTATTGGCCTTACAAATGGGCCTTGTGGCCATAGGCAATCCTTGAAATAAACTAAGCACCCATCCCCTCCATGCATGTGAACAGGTAAACTACACTTCGATAATGAACTGTTAACTATCTTTTAACCCTAATAGATGTTTACCATTCAAAAATTGACAATCACCAGTTTTTGAGAAAATCATAATGTTTTTGTTTTCATAATCAATTTGAACAGATCATACTTCGACATCAATGATTCATTTTTGTATTGCTTTACAAGAATTGTATTGGTACAACACAGCATTCTGATTGGTTAATAACAGACTTGACCTACATTTGTATCAGGTCAAAGAACGATGTTGCAGGACAAAATGTCATTTGTATAATTTTTCAAAGGTGGGCGCTAAGTTGGATGAGTACGGTACTTACATTTCACAATGCACACATTCAGACTATCAAATATATCACATAATATTCCTAAGAACCCCAACAGCTAAATGAATGATCTCAGAGTGCGTATTCAGACTATCAAATATTTCACATAATAGTTCCAAGAACCCAATACAGCTATAGCAATGATCTCAGAGTACATATACAGATCATCAAATATTTCACATAATAGTCCCAAGACCCCAATAAAGCTACATGAATGATCTCAGAGTGCATATTCAGACCATCAAATATTTCACATAATAGACCCAAGACCCCAACAGCTACATGAATGATCTCAGAGTGCATATTCAGACCATCAAATATTTCACATAATAGTTCCAAGAACCCAATACAGCTATAGGAATGATCTCAGAGTGCGTATTCAGACCATCAAATATATCACATAATACCGGTAGTCCCAAGAACCCAACAGCTATAGTAATGATCTCCGAGTGCAAATTTAATATGATGTGTTTGTTATTACATGAAAAGATAACAGAACAATTTACTCATGATATTTCAAATTGAACAACATCAAAAGCTGTTCATGCAATATCTTAACAATACACATGTACCTTTTTTTTATTGTGAAAACTAAATAGTTATATGCTCCTCACCTGTTGTGATAGTTTACAACAGCAGATAAACAACGTCCCAGTATTCTCTGTGTCATTAAACTAATATGCCAATAAATTGTACGTTTTAGTTTTCCTGCTGGTAGATATCCAATAATAGAGTAGACTACCATACACCATAATATGCCAATAATAGTCAGTGTTACTCTATGGGAAGAAAACAACCAGAATATTTTATCAATTCCACATTTAATGGCATGCAATAATCAATATTGTTATACATCTGTCACCATAACGTCAATAAGCTACAGCGTGTCGTAATTTTGGGGTGTTTTCATCCTACCATATTAGGAAATGCGAATTCCAAATATGGAATGATTACGCACGTAAGCGTCCTCTAATAATAATAAAAACAAAAATGGCTGCCACCAGTGTTTGACCAGCTCCACACATGAATATTCATTATATCAGCATGTGACTGTGATAATATTCAACTCGCTTATACAGTACTGTAAAATGACTAATTTTCACTGGGTTTAAATTTCACTGATTTACTATTTCAGGCATATTCAGTGGGTTTTAAATTCACGGTTTTATCATTTAGATAATGTGTTCTATGCAAAATTTTACATATTCACTGGGTTTTAATTTAGCGCATTTTCCAGTCAGCGAAATAAGCTAAATTAAAACCCAGTGAATAATTAACCCCTTTACAGTATTGTACAATCACATATAACACACATAACATGGATTGTCCTAATATTGTTACAGAAAAACTAAAAATGGATTTACTTTCTTACCTAAATGGTAATAGAATACAGTATCTAATAATAAAACCAAGACTCCACAAGACTGTCAGTCGAATACTGCAATGAGAAACACATAGCAAGATGAATGATATTGTCAATGATTGTACTTAATGTGTACACATTTGTATGAAGATCTTATCATACCTATTCCTACAAAGGCTGTTCAAATAACTTTTATAATATTGATGGACTGAATTTGTGGTACTGCTTATGTAACTGGTGTATCTATTATTCAGACCATCAAATATTTCACATAATAGTCCCAAGACCCCAATACAGCTATAGGAATAATCTCAGAGTGCATATTCAGACCATCAAATATTTCACATAATAGACCCAAGACCCCAATACAGCTATAGGAATGATCTCAGAGTGCATATTCAGACCATCAAATATTTCACATAATAGACCCAAGACCCTAATACAGCTATAGGAATGATTTCAGAGTGCATATACAGACCATCAAATATTTCACATAATAGTCCCAAGACCCCAATACAGCTATAGCAATGATTTCAGAGTGCATATACAGACCATCAAATATTTCACATAATAGTCCCAAGACCCCAATACAGCTATAAGAATGATCTCAGAGTGCATATTCAGACCATCAAATATTTCACATAATAGACCCAAGAACCCAATCAATACAGCTATAGCAATGATCTCAGAGTGCGTATTCAGACCATCAAATATTTCACATAATAGTTCCAAGACCCCAATACAGCTATAAGAATGATCTCAGAGTGCATATTCAGACCATCAAATATTTCACATAATAGACCCAAGAACCCAATACAGCTATAGCAATGATCTCAGAGTGCGTATTCAGACCATCAAATATTTCACATAATAGTCCCAAGAACCCAATACAGCTATAGCAATGATGTCAGAGTGCATATTCAGACCATCAAATATTTCACATAATAGACCCAAGACCC